GCAGCTGTTCCTGAGTTTGGGAGCGGAGGACTTTCCCACTGACCGAATAAAGGTGGGATTCATTATCAGTTTGCTCTCAGGCACAGCTGCCCATTGGGCTACCCCCTTGTTAACTCAGCCGAGCCCTTTGTTGCATGACTTCCAGGGCTTTTGTCAGTACTTTAAACAGATGTTTGAAGATCCTATCAAGGGGGAAACATCAGCTAGAAGTCTGAAGTCATTGTAGCAGGGGAGTGGTTCATTGAAGGACTATGTTAGTGAATTCAGGCTGCGTAGCCAGGATTCCACGTGGAATGAACCAGTTCTAATGGACACGTTCCAGAATGGATTGTCTGAGGCCTTGCAGGATGAACTGGCGAGGGTGGACAGGCCACCGACGTTTGACGCATTGGTCCACTTGTGCCTCCAGATAGATGCCCGGCTGCAGAGGCGAAGGCCTCACCATGCATTCCAGGAGACCACCAGCATGCCAGTTCAGCAAGAGACTGCAGTGGAATGGGAGGAGCCCATGGAGTTGGGTACTGTCAGATCTCAAGTGTCACGTATTGAGATGGACGGACGACGTGCTGAGGGATTGTGCTTCTACTGTGGGGATCTTGGACACCTGGAAGGGAGTTGCCCCAAGAAGAACAGAGGGGTTGTGCGGACTGCAGCCATCCCTCAGCAACGCACTATCATGTCGGACAACCAGCACGTTTGTGCGGCCATGATACCCCGTTTGTACAAGGTACCGTGCATTCGGGGGATGTGGAATCCCAGGGCGGATGCCCTGCCTAGTAAAGTAGAGAACTCTGACCCTGAGAACTCACTTCCACTTTGGACTGTTCTACCCGTTGCATCCTGCGCTGCTGTTTGTCATCCCATGAGCTTGCAGTCTCTGATATGGGATGCGCAGCGCGGTGACGACTGGGTGGAGCGACGAAAGGCGGAAGTAGGGCCGGCATCCCCATGGACTTTGGAAGGGGATCTTTTGAAATATCAGGGCTGGCTCTATGTTCCCGCAGGGCACATCCATTGACGGGTGCTCTCGCAGGTTCATTGCGCTTCTGCATTGAGACATTGGGGTTTTTTCAGGACGTTGCACCTAGCCTCCCGTCAATTTTGGTGGCCCCATCTGAGAAATGATGTGTGGAGGTGCGTGGAGTCATGTGCCCAGTGCCAATGGGCCAGGTCTGCAAGGAGAGCTCTGCCAAGATTCCAGCCTGTGTCAACCCCAGTCCCCGCAGCACTGGACTTTGTTTCTAGGTTTCTGGCAGGGTACCAGTGTCTTGGACTGTGTTCCATGGAGGCTGTCACCAACCCTTCTGGACCGCACCCCGATCGTCGGAACCGGGGGAAGGGCCCTGCAGGAGAGGAGTGTGTGGTGGCTCGGCAGGAGTCGGTGGAGCTGCTGCCGGACTCCGACGGCAAGGGGTCATGTGGGTTGGCCTTGGAGGAGGTGGAGGACCATGGACAGTGTGTTAGGGCTCGGCCGGAGCTATTGGAGTGGCCGCCAGACTCCGACAGTATGGGGGCTGGTGGGCCAGCCATGGAGAGGGTGGAGGACCCTGGACAGGGTGTTAGGGCTCGGCCGAAGCTGTTAGAGCTACCGTCAACCTCCGACAGTGCAGGGGCTGGTGGGTTGGCCTTGCAGAGGATGGAGTACCCTGGACGGGGTGTCGACGCTGTGAAGGGCGGAAGGAGATGTGGTGGCCACCGGATACCTGGAGAGTCTTGGCTCAAGGTGATTGTTCCTGCAGGTATTGGGGAATCATGACAGAGGCACCACAGGAAATGATTGCCGGCCATGTTATGAACAACCATTCCGACTGCATCCAGATCATCAGACCTGGGGAAAGGGCCCTGCGGTGGGGGATAGTGTTGTGACTCAGCAGAAGTTTGCTGTGAGTTGAGTCGNAATTGTCTGAGGCCTTGCAGGATGAACTGGCAAGGGTGGACAGGCCACCAATGTTCGACGCGTTGGTCCACTTGTGCCTTTGGATAGACGCCCGGCTGCAGAGGCGAAGGCCTCGCCATGTATTCCAGGAGACCACCAGCATGCCGTTTCAGCAAGAGATTGCAGTGGACTGGGAGGAGCCCATGGAGTTGGGTGCTATCAGGCCTAGAGTGTCACGTACAGAGATGCACAGATGACGTGCTGAGGGATTGTGCTTCTACTGTGGGGATCTTGGACACCTGGCGGGGAGTTGCCCCAAGAAGAACAGAAGGGTTGCGCGGACTGCAGCCGTCCCTCAGCAACGCACTATCCTGTCGGACAATCCGCACATTTGTGCGGCCGTGATACCCCGTTCGCACAAGGTAGCGTGCATTCGGGGTGTGTGGAATCCCAAGGCGGATGCCCTGCCTAGTAAAGCGGAGAACTCTGACCCTGCGAACTTGCTTCCACCTCGGACTGTTCTACCCGTTGTATCCTGCATTGACGTTTGTCATCCCGTGAGCCTACAGTCTCTGATACGGGATAAGCAGCGGGGTGACGACTGGGTGGAGCGACGAAAGGCGGAAGTAGGGCCAGTGTCCCCATGGACTTTGGAAGGGGATCTTTTGAAGTATTGGGGCCAGCTCTATGTTCATGCGGGGCACATCCATAGAGGGGTGCTCTCGCAGGTTCATGGTGCTTCTGCATCGAGACACTGGTTTTTTTTCCGGACGTTGCGCCTGGACTCCCGTCAATTTTGGTGGCCACATCTGAGAAATGACGTGCGGAGGTGCGTGGAGTCATGTGCCCAGTGCCAATGGGCCAGGTCTGCAAGGAGGACTTCACCAAGATTCCAGCCTTTGTCAACCCCGGTCCCCACAGCATTGGACTTTGTTTCTAGGTTCCCGGCGGGGTGCCAGTGTCTTGGACTGTGTTCCGTAGAGGCCGTCACCAAGGTCTTGGCATATTCGGGTCTTTTCTCGTGCAAGATTGACAGTATTTTGGTGACATTTTGACGAGGTCACACTTGTCATGAAGCCAAAGGCACCAGTCTGAAGATGACGAGTGTGACCTTGTCAAAACTTCGCCAAGATACTGTCAATCTTACACAGGAAAATACCCAAATACGCCAAGACCTGTGTGTGTGTGTGTGTGTGTGTGTGTCTGTGTGTCTGTGTGTATTCATTCATTCATTTGTGTGTATATTTGTGTATTGACTTCTAATTTTCTTTTATATCAGATATAAATACAAGTATAAATTAACCACTTACTCTATGGTTATAGCATTACTTAACATTCATTTTATATTCTATTTTTTTTAAATATCAACACCATATGTCATAATTTTATTGTTTTTTCTGTTTCATGCAAAATGGGAAGCAATTTCCAGTCAGCATTAGACAATGTCTTATCTCTAATTAAAACTGTCAATTTGGTCATCTCAGCAAGTTCCATCACCTTCACCATCCATTCCTCCATCATAGGTACAAGTAGTCCTAGACTTACAACCATTGATTTAGTGACCATTCAAAGTTACAACATTCAAAACACTGACATGACCATTTTAACATCTACAAACATTGCAGCATCCCCATGGTCTCATGATCAAAATTCAAATGCTTGGCAACTGGTCCATATTTATGTCTGTTGCAGTATCATGTGATCACATTTTTAGACCTTTTGACAAGCAAAGTCAACAAAGAAGCCAGATTCACTTAACAACCTTTTACCAATTTTTCAACTTAATAACTGTGACAAGAAAGGTCATTAAAATGGAGTAAAACTCACTTAATTATCTTGCTTGATGTAATTTGTTTGCAAGAAACTCATATCAAGTCAACTCATCAAAAATATTTGATTAACTCAAAACTTGGTCAACATTTTGCAGCTTCCGCTATGGAATGGAAGAATGGTATAGTTGTATACTTAAGAA